GTGAGGCCGGGCGTGTATTTGTTAAACAAACTGCATTTGGGTAGGCACTTTCTTTCTCATACCCGGGCTTTGATTATGACTCAGATGGGTGTGTCTTGCACGCCACTCACTTACCCATGAGGTGTTGGTGCAGTTTTCGGTCGTACCTTGTGGTGATGCTACATGGGTTCTACCAGATTCTACCAGTTCGATTCGGACGTTACAGACATGATGGTGCATCGGTGCAAGCGATCGGGTGCACCCAAACTGGTTGACCCCAGTTTGGTTGGTATTTTAATAGGAACTCAAAAGAAAACCATTGCCATTCTTGGGGACCGAATCTTATTTTGAGAACCTGCGTCCCGCGCTCCAGCCGAAGCCCGAAACCGGTCCGCCGGTCGTCCGTCGAGGTGCTGCAGACCGAGCAGGCCATCCAGGAGCTGCGGTGGGAGATCTCCGAGTTCGAGGCCCAGTCCAAAGAGCAGCACGCGGAGCTGAACCAGGTGACGTGGCAATAAAGGGGGAGAGGGTGGGTTGGCAACACGGAATGGGCTCCCAGACCTCAATGGTTTGGCCACAAAAGGAGAGGTTTCAACTGACGAAGCAGCACTTGAGGAGTTGAAGGAGGATGGGCATTTGTGGAACAGCCAGGCGATGAACCGCCGCCCTTTGAAAGGGAGCCAAGAGGAGGTTCCAACGAAACGACTGGCCCAATGACAAAAGGCCAAACGCTAGTTATTTGCAAAGCCCCCTCACAAGCAAAACCCTAGTCTGGGGTTCAGACCTGGGTTGACTGAGGTCTGGGGGTAGGCCCGGTCCTCAAGCCGGCAGGCGAGCCACCAGATCCAGGACCTGCGCAGCTCCCTGGGCGCCGTGGAGCGCCGGAAGGCGCATAGGGCAAAACGTGGACATGCGCTTGGTGTCCTCTGGGTTTCTCCAAGTTTCTCTTTTGAACCAGCCGGGTGGTTCTTTCCATGGTGTTTCTCCAGAAAGCAGCCTTTTGGTTGGTGTTGCCTTTTGGGACGGAACGTTATCAGATGTTGTCCGGTCCTTTGAGGCGTTAGCGGAACCACTAATTATGTCCGTTGGGCAAGTGAGTTTTGTTTGTTCCCAGGCAGCGCCCCCGAAAGAAGCATCCTCAACCAACTTGAAATGCAAGGTACTAGCTGATCTACAGGACCCGCTCTGGTTTCCGGAGAAAAAACATCTCTGGAGGGAATCACCCTGCACGGTATTTCGGATTGATCCGAAGTTCTTCAACATGCCATCCGACGTCGCGGCCTTGAAAAGCACAAGTTGGAGTGAACCACCAATTTGACATGTTCTTGTGGGCTCCTGCCGAGAGAAAACTAATTAGCAACAAAGCAAAGCTGAAGCCCTGGCAAGGCCTCAGTCAAGTCCTTTCAGCCACGCGCATCCTTCCTCCAAATTGCCGCCTTTCCTGTCTCGGACGTGTGCCAAGTTCCAACTGCTTTCCTGGTTTAGCTTATGTGGTGACTATACATTTGTATACATATGTAACTATGTGCTGCTTTGTTATTCACAGTGATGGGGTTTCCTGTGGAGAGGCTGGGAGACTTGCTTGACTGTGTTGGGCTATGACGCGTGGTGCGCAGCAACAAGCATACAGGGGTTCTTTGTGTGGTCCTCCCAGATATTTTGTCAGATTCGGCTTGGTGTTCACAAGCGGGGACCCTGGTTTCTGCTGCCCCCATCTTGTGACAAACCGCAGAGCAACATTTGCTCTCTTTGAGGGGACCTCAACAAATGTGGTTTTGCCGTGGTTGCCCTTCACACCACGCCCACAGACGAGTGCGGAAAATGGTGGCCCCTGGCAGTGTACCAAAATTGGACGTCAGGAATAGTTGAAGGAGATACCCTTGGCTGAAGGAAAGTGGGAACCTAAGGGTAGACTGTTCCACAACCGGCGCGTTTTTGTATTTCCTTGCGGCCGGACCTGCGTGCTTCCACATCTAATTGGGGTGTTCTAGCCCAATTCGAGACTTCTCCACCATGTCAGCTCCCAGCCGGGGGCTTTGTTCTTGAACCCACACCCTAGAAACCCAATACCCTCAAGGCGGTTGGTCACACCCCACCCCACAAGCCCCACCCCCCCCGGTTCCCCATAGAAGGGAGCCTTCCCCCTCCCACCGGGCACAGGCGGTGCGCCGGGACGCCATCGCGAACTCGCGGGCGGAGAGTCGGCAGTTGGAGGCGGAGACTTCGGAGGCGCGAAGCGACGAGCGAAGGATCAAAGAGCAGCTGGGGAGCTTCGCCAAGGAGACCGAGGTGGGATGCAACTGGCACCCGTTTGAAGGGGGAATGTTTGCCTTTTGTTTTTGCTGTTTGCGTGCGTGGCAAATGCGGCTTTCCTCTCGTCCCTTCAAATGGCTTTTGCCAGGCTTCTATTTAGCTATGTTTGACCCACAGCCAAATGTGGCCAGACTCAGCTTATCCCCCCCACCGATGCTGACCTTTTGAAAGAAACACTCTGCCTTGCTTTGGTCCAGAAGACTTTAACAAACAATGGCCACTTCCAGGACCGGCTCCAAAGTCTGCCTTTTCTCCCTTCCAGAGTTCACTGGCTGCAGGCAGTTATCTCTTGTTGTGTGGTGCAAAAGTCCATATGGAGGGGAATCCCCTGAACATTGGTTGGCTCTAATTTGCTAGTTTGGCAAAACGCCCATGTAGGCTTGCCTCAATATGGTTTTCCTCTGAATCAGCCCATGCAACCAGCTGCCATCAAGAAAGACCAACCCATGTTCATGGCAGGGCATTGCCAACTTAAACTTGCTGCCATGTCTGGGTGATTTCGCATGGGAACCTACCCGACCCAGCGTGGAGTGGGGCTTGCCTGGTTTCCCTTCCGCACCATATGCCCGTACAGTTTCCTCTGAGACTTCTGAGAGGTGCATCGCCATTTGCTGCAGCGCGCTGCTGCTGTGCGGCGGAATTGGCTGGAAGAGCAGCAAAGCAACGAGCTGAGCGCTCAACTGCTGCGGCAGGACGCCACTGGACTGCGGGACAGATGCGGCAGCACCCAGCAGGAGCTGGAGGCATTCCAGCGGGTTGAGCATTTACTTATGAATTTGTATGTGTGTGCGCTTTTGTGTCAGCGTGCCGGTTCTTTTTTTTAAACGACAAGGAAAGCCAGAAGGGAGCCACCATTTTGGGGTCCCCGTATGTTGACACAACCCAGTTGTTGAAACAACCTAACCCTGCTTCCCTTTGCAGGGGCGCCAAGATTGAACAAAGGTAAGTCCAATCACGGGGTCGGTTCAGGTGGTGGAAAGGGAGAACGACGGCCTGGAGAGCGAGTTGGATGGTGCCTTGTTCCACAGCATCCGGCAAAGGCGCTTCACGGCCATGGAGGAAACCGAGGCCTCCACACAGTTCGACAACACCTGCGAGGCCAAAGCTTTGAATTCCCATGGCCAGCGCCAGTTGGAGGCAGGGTCGGAACCCACAGGCAGACTCAAACCCACCAGTGGTAGAGTTCCCAAAAAGCTGTGGGTGTCCTGAGTTCAATCAGCTGGTACTCAAGAATGGAACCTTGCAAACCTTGCTCTTTGAGCAAACTTTGACTCTCTTAGTTGTTTAGTTCAAAATGGGGCATTTTGTTTATAGTCTTTTTTTTTTTGTCTTCTTTTCCTTTTTTTAAACTTAATTAAGTTTTTTTTGTTTTTCAGGGTGGGTGGCTTTTCGGCTTTTGTGGCTTTTGTGGCTTTTACGTGGGTTTACGTGGCTTTTGCGGCTTTTCAACCAGAAAGCTCATCCAGCTGTTGCAACAACTGACAAGAATGGGGAGTTAAATCTTGACTTGCAAAAAAATATTTTTGCAAAGCGCCGCAATGCTCATTTTTTTTTCTGACACGTTGTTTTGAAGCAGGAGCATTTCAGCCCTCACCTTCATTAGGAGCGGGATTATGGGTTATTCTCATATCACCCCAATCTTCTTGCGTCCAATCAATTGGGGGGTGTTCTGCATTCACAGTTCCTCTCGGTGGCTTTTGGCTTTGTGGCTTTTGGTGGCTTTCTGGCTTTGGCTTTTCGCATCCTCTGCTTTCCCAGTTGGTTTTTGGCCTTGGCTTCCTGCATCCTCAGCATCACCAGTTTCTCTCTGGTGGGTTGTCGCCAATTAAAATGCACCCCTAAGTGAATCATCACTGCTGGGATTATCGTGGAGGGGCTTCCCCCCTGTGTGCAGTTCTTCAAACATCGTTGGGGGGCTACCGTCCCCCCTGTCACACCAAGGTGCTACTCGCCCCCCAACCCAGCCTACTTTTTAGATGTTTTGCCCCTAATGAATCATCACTTGTTCGGACATCGTCCCCCGCTACTTTTTTGCCCCTAATTCAATCATCGCTGCCCCGGTCATCATGGGGGGCTGCGCCCCCCCCCCCCCACGCCCCCGCTACTTTCTAGATGTTTTGCCCCTAATTCAATCATCACTCCCCCGACGGGGGCGGCAGCCCTCCAACCCGCTATTTTCTAGATGTTTTCCCCTAATTCAATCATCACTCCCCCAATCATCATCGGGGGGGCTGCCCCCCCCCCAACCCCCCCCAACCCCCCCCGCTACTTTTTAGATTTGTTGCCCCTAATTCAATCATCATTCCCCAAGTCATCGTGGGGGCTGCCAAAGATCTTGGCATACGGTAGCACCAGGCAGGCGTCGCTCCATAATGCCTGAAAGATGCTTAGCCGGATGAGGCAAGATGTTGCAAAACGAATCCCGAGCTCAAAAAAAACCCAACCTCATCCGCAGCTAGCCCAAGCCCAAGTTTGCCCAATATCTCCTTCCAGTTGCCTTGGGCCGTACAAGTTGCCTGCCTGAAGCCTGCCCTGAGCTGGTGATGCTAAGGATGTTGGTGTGACACGACCTGCCCCCGCTTCTTTTTATATTTTTTGCCCCTCATGGGGGTGGTGATGCTGGGGATGTTTGCTGGACATGCGAGGGATGTTGAAAACAAGGCTGATGATGTTTACGTGCTAGTGCAAAATACTCACATTTCGTGAGACAATGCTGTAAAATACAGAATTTTACTGGCCAAAACGGGTGGGGGGGGGGGAAACAAAATAAAACAAACAAATCCCAAATTAAATCTCGACTCTTAGTACCCAGGGGCTGCAGAGCTGCCGGGAGTATCTGACAGAGCGCCTGCGGAACATGGTGCAGGCCAGGCGCGATGGGGACGCACTGGACCTGCGGCTGGCGGAGAACTGGGACCAGCACAACTCGCTGCAGTACTCATGGCGCCAGCTGTGCCAAACCGTTCAGGTCCGAAGCCTCGTGCTGGAGGAGGCGGGGTTTGGGCTTGAAATCTCAATGGTCCACTTGGGAGGGACATGGGCTCACTGAACTTCCCACTGGATTTGCCATTGTCCATTAGCATACTGTAAGATCTGTTGGCTCAGGTGAACAGTGACCACGCGCAGCTTTCAAGAAAACTGGAGGAGTCTGAGTGCCAAGCTGACCTGGCAGAGGAGGAGGCCCGAAGCTTGACACGGCAGAAGGACCTGAGCAGACTTGGTCGGTTGGTTGGTCGGTTGGTTGGCCGGTCGGTGGGCTGGTTGGCTGGATGGTCCATGGTCACCTTTAAACAGGGGGTCCGGTATTGATTTCCCTTTTCATCTCGTTTCAGCATCACCTTTTGGGCCTCTTGCCCTTGGGGAACATGCAAGCAGAACACAATTACTCTGGCGCTTTCAAAGTCACTCTGGCTGATTTGGGGGGGTGTTGCCCTTGTCTTTTTGGCCACCCCTGCAGGAGGAGCAGCATGCCATGTGCCGGGGGGAGGAGGAGGAGGTGGCGAGCGCGGAGGCCAAGATGCGGCAGGTGGAGGAAAGCCTGGGGGTTGCACAATTTGTAGCAGCTCATGGGAAGCCAAAAGAAGGATATTTAGACGACAGAGGTTTCAACATGTCAAAACAAGGGGTTGAATCAACCATGGAGGAAATGCTTCAGGGTGAGCATAGGGAGGCCGAGGCGGAGGTGCAGGCGGCGTCTGGGCACCGTGCGGGACAAAGCGAGAAGGCGGCGTTTTCAGAGAAGATGGAATTCCCCCTTCAGATGTTCACATGTTTTCAAACTATATTTGAACATTTTTGTTTGTTTGTGCCCGGAGGTGGACAAGCTGCAGGCTCACATCTCGGACAACCTGCAGTCGCAGCTGAAGGGCCTGGACGACGAGAACCGGCATTTGCAGAGCCGGATCGCCTTTTTCGAGAAGGACACCGAGGATTTGTTGGCGCAAAACGAGGAGCTGGAGCGGACCATGGAGGAGGTGAAGAAGAAGATGAACTGCACCATCTCATAGCACTTGGGTGTCGTGAATGGCCTAGCTGAAGCTGATAAAGCGTGTAGGCTTCCAACTTTTTGCGTTGCGACTCCAGAGCCGAGTGGCACTAGCACAGCCAGGCAAGATGAGAAGCATCTAAGAGCCAACATGCGCAACATGCTTCATTTCGAAGGGAGGGAAGCTACTTGCCATTTGAAGGCATGGGCCCTCATGGGCCAAACCAAAATGCCGCTGTGGGAATGTTTTCGGGATGCGGCCAAGCCGCAAGGTGCGGAACCGGGCCGCTCGCTCGGAAGCCTGGGGTTCCTTATGCTTCGCAACAAAGAAATGCGCGCCTTTGGCACCATTTGACAAAGAGTTTCCTTTTGAGCTGATGTTTTTACATGATAGGATGTCCAAGGCGACAGAAAAGGAACCCTGGAAGATACTTTTGCAACATGCAGCTTTGCGCCGGTGCCCAAAGAGAGCGTTGCCGAAAGGCGCAGCCCTGCGGTTCCCACCCGTCCACGAACAACGTGGAGCCCCGAAGGAGCAGATTGGGAGAAAGAATGCGCCGTTGCGCGACTGTGTGCACGAGAAGGTATGGGGAAGGCGGCGCTATGGAAGGAGTGGGAACTTCCCACCAGTGGGAAGAAACCTGCACAAATGTCAAGTCACAGCATGCTCTTCTCTGGCACTTTGTTGATTCAAGAGAACCAGGCATACCTTTCAAATGCAAGTCGTGGCCTAGTCAAAGACAGACTTGGATCCAGAAAGTTGGACCCACCTCAATTTTCAATCCCAATGGAAGGATTGATGGCTCGAGAGAAGCCATAGTGTCAGCCAAATGAAGATCATGGTATCTAGGTGGGTCCGACTTAACGGACCCAGGCTAGCAGCTTTGACTACCGCTGTGCAGTGTAGCTGATGGTTTCGCGCATTTCCGCCGCCAGGGTTCAGGGAGCGCCGGCCGAGATTGCACACGGCAGATATTTGTTGGGCATTGGATGTGGCGGCGCGGTGTTCAGTTCTAAGCCTGATGGTGCAAAAAGACCATCTTTTGGATGAGGAAGCACTACTTCACCGAAACCCAACCCCAGCACACACTTGAGCTGACTCACCAGGGACGGGCTTAACCACACATTGCCAGTGATTGTACCGTCCAGCATTGCAGCTTTGCAGCATTGGGAGCCCTGGGTTTTTGCCAGCACGGGCTGGCGTCCTCAAACCGCTCATTTGGTGAGCGCATATTTGGCCCGACACCTGGGGCAAAGCCTTGGGCATTGCCAGTAACCAGAGCAACTACTCACCATTCCAGGGGCCAACTGCCGGTCGTTTTGGCCCTAGGCACTGCGGCCATGCCGATCAAAGGCGTTGGGGGCTTAGTCTTGCACCGGCAAGAGCTCGCTGGCCACCAATAGGTGGCAGACGAGCCAGCAAATTAGTAGTCACTGGGGCTTCAGGTGGAGTTGGAAGTCGTCGAAGGAATCACCGAACACTCGAGCCGCGTTGCTCTGAAAGGCGGAACTTGTTTTGCGTGTGCATGTGGTGGGGCAGCTTGTTCCCGGGTTTCCCCGCCAACGCTCCTTACAGCCGCTTCTGCCAGGTGTGTTCCAGAACTTTGGGGATGTGGTCTCCTGTTGGGTTGCCGCCTCAGTGCTGCTATGCGACATTGCATCACCTTGGCCTAGTGCGTTATCTCAACTGGACACTGCAAGGTGCCGCCAGTGGACCGACGAGGTATTGACAAGGCCTCCAGTTCCAGGGATCAAAGTGTGGCGTTGCCAGTCAAGACCAGGTGACCAGGCAAGCTGTACCCAGAAAAAAAAAGATCCGCATCGATCTCAGCCACACATCAGTGTCTAAAACACGCACCTTGCGTCAAACTCAATGTGGGCCTGTGCAAAGATTGAACACTCCCTCACGGTTTCAAAAGCCATCCCCAACCCACTTGGGATGTTTTTTTGAGCGAGCCCCCCCCCCCCCAAAAAAAAAAGGAAAGGCGCGCGCCAAGCATTTTTTGTTTTATCATTGAAAGAGAAGCTTGCATGAAACAAATGAGAACAATCGGCTTATTTTAAAACACACATTACAGTTTCACAGGTACGCGACAATCAGCAACACATCAATAAACAACACACGTTACTTTAACCGCGCGCTTTCCACGTCATTGTGGTTTGTGCCAGGCCTCAGTGCGCTTCGCCAACGCCCAGGCAGCTGAGGCAGCCAAGGAGGCTTGCGACGCTGGGCAGGCGGGGGGTTCACCTGCAAGGTGGAGGTGGAGGAGAGGGGAAGGTGGAGAAGAGGGGGCAGTGGAGGACTGCGGCAGGCGGAGGAGAGGGGGAGGTGGACGAGAGAGGCGGAGGAGAGGAGGCGGCAGGCGGAGGAGCGGCAGGCGGAGGAGAGGGGGCGGTGGAGGGAGAGGGGCAGGCGGAGGAGAGGGAGAGGTGGAGGAGAGAGGCAGGCGGAGGAGCGGCAGGCGGCAGGCACAGAGGGGGAGGTGGAGGAGAGAGGCAGGCGGAGGAGAGGGGGAGGTGGAGGAGGCGGAGGAGAGGGGGCGGCAGGCGGAGGAGTGGCAGGAGGAGAGGGGGCGGTGGAGGGGAGAGCGGCAGGCAGAGGAGAGGGGGCGGTGGAGGGGACTGCGGCAGGCGGAGGAGAGGGGGAGGTGGAGGGGAGAGCGGCAGGCGGAGGAGAGGGGGAGGTAGAGGAGAGAGGCAGGTGGAGGAGAGCGGCAGGCGGAGGAGAGGGGGAGGTGTAGGAGAGGGGGAGGTGTAGGAGAGGGGGAGGTGGACGGGGTGGAGGTGGAATTTCAATATGCAGCCCAGAGAGAGAGAGAGAGAGAGAGAGAGAGCGACACAGAAAAAAGAGCGGGGTTGTTCAGAATCAATCCCCACAACATACCGGCCTGGAAGTTAGGCAAAGAACATGTTAGCCGAACCAGGCCTAGACTGGTCCGCGTTCAAGGCTTGTGAGCTTGGCAAATAGCATTAAGTCGCACATAATTCTTAACGGCGTGAACATGGTTTTGGTTCTGCAGACCTGGCCACAGCCTTTCTTGGTTTCAGCCCCTCCTTGCCACGAACTGGTTGCCCTGCCAGTGAGTTTGTGACCTTTGTAGGTCTACCTGCAGGGCATGCTGGTGAAGGCGAATTGGCGCTCTGGCGGCGGGCGTCGCGCCGGGAGCCCGAGCTCGCCAGAAGAGGGAACTGAGGTGGCAAGGCCGAGCTTCGCGGGTCTTACGGCCAGTTGTATTTTGTTCGTGTGTTTTCCATGTCGCAGATCGAAGTTCAGCTGAACATGCGACGCTGTCCTCGGGTCTCACTGGCCGGCCTGCGAGGTTGGCAACAGCGACCTTGGCGAGCTGAGCAAAACAAATGATTTCGAGGACAGCGGGATGAGGCCCGAAGCTGGGGCGGCAGCATTGCGAGGCATTGTGGAATGCAGCACTGCCAGGCAGTTTGCTCTTACAGACCGCCGCGACACTCGGGAGACTCGGGAGACTCGAGAGATTCGGGACGTTCGCGATCAAGCACGAGAGCGAGGAGAACGTGAGAGACAGCGCTGCGACCTGAGGGAGCTTTCGGCTCTGAGAGATGCAGTTGGTGCGCATTGCATTCGGAAGGTGTTAGAAGTCGCTCAAGGAAGAGGCTGTGTTTACTGCATTCGTGCTCGGCGAGTGCTGGGTAATGCCTGCCACTCTTGTGGTTCTAGTGTAGATCAGCACATGGCATCCTAAAGGTCATGCAGGAATCAGAGGTTCACTTGGCTGCGGCTCAAAAACATGTACCAAAATGGCGCCTTGCAAATGGATCCAAAGACTAAGACCCCAGCTGCTAAATTTTGAGCCACTCCCATTTCCCCAACACATCCAGCAGTCGTTCACATTTCGATTTTGCAATATCTTATCCACTAAGCTGCCCTCAGGGCTAATGAAACTCCTCTCATTTTGTTTTGTTGAACTGCGTAAATTTGTTCTGCCAAGACAGGGTCTTGCATTGTTTGGAGGTGAGGAGGTTCTATATATATATATATATATATGTAAATATATATATATATATATACATCTAGATATCGCTTTCAGAAAACCTTCACTTTCCTAGTTTGTGTAAAATGCCATCGCCTACTGTTCTGGAGGGTGGGGAAAAGCAGGGTCCAGTCCTCACTTTTAATTTTGTGTGGACCCTTTACCGGTTGCTTTTCAAGAAGCCAAAAGGAAAGCCACCGTTTGGGGGGATCCCCTGTGTTCAGACACACACCCAACTAGGTTTCACTGCCCTTTTGCTTCCCACAAGGAATTTGGCATCTACTTTGCACCCTGGTGTGACAGACACCCCCCAACCCCCCAACCCCTCCCCCCCAAAAAACAAGACAGAAGTGGTTCTCCTTTTGGTCTTCCTTTCCAACCACGTCCCCTCACAAAAAGACCAAAGCCCCAGATTCCCAGGAGCCCAAGACGGCGCGCGAACTCGCCAGGCGCAGCCGGTCCCGGCGCCGCAGCCGGTCCCGGCGCAGGGACCGCAGCCCGCGCCGGGATGCGCGCCCGGGGCCCTCATGATGTCTTTTTTTCTTTTTGGTGGGGTGTGTGTGTCCGAAGAGAGGGTTGGGGCCTCTGATTTCCCTTTTGTGGTCTCTTTCCCGTTTTCACCTTTGGGGGCCATGTCTGGAAAACGAGTTTGAGGTGATGTTGAAATGAGTCACATAGGGAACCTGGAAAAGGGGGAGAGAAGGGCGCGCCACCCCCCCAACCCCCCAACCCCCCCAACACCACACCCCCACACCCCCACACCCCCACACCCCCACACCCCCACACCCCCACACCCCCACACCCCCACACCCCCACCCCCACACCCCCACACCCCCGCACACCCGCACACCCGCACACCCGCACACACCCGCACACACACACACACTCACACATTCCAGGAAGCTTACGGAGTAGAGTGGTTGAATGAGTTGGCTTTTGATTCCGAATTTGTTTAGACAAGGCTTGCCTACTTTCTGAAAGCTGGGGCATGGGCAGACCTAGTCGTGAAAATGGAGGCTCCCTTAAACAGTTGTCGTTTTTTGGTTTTGGTTTGGGGGAGGGCAGAAATCGGTTGCATGCAACAGCCCTCGTCCCTCGCTGCTCTCAGCTCAAACTCTCCCCGGCGGGCCCCAAAGGCGCAGTTTTCGCCTCGCCATGCCCGAGGGCTTGAGGACACCCGACCGGCGGCCTGCGCGGCCCTTGAGGTCTTTGTGCCTTGGCGCGGAATTGGATGGACACCCTTTTGGATCTTTGGATTGGGGCGTAGGTGCCAAGATGAAGCATCTTTTTTGCATGCTTGTGAAGGAAGCGAGGGGAAAAAAACAGCCCCTGAAAGGATCCAATGTCCGCTTGGATCCAAAAGGATCCCCACTACCCGCAAACTACCCGTAGAGAAAAAGTGCGATGCACAGTCACAAGTGTATCTATGACATAAAGAGGTCTAGTCAAATCCCAATCGTTCAGTGGCACTCTTTGCTTTGTTTGGTGGGATTCCAACACTACAAGGCAGTCGGCTCCAAGAGATCCAATGCGGATTCAGAGCCACAGCAAGGGGAGACAAGGTCATGGCCGTGGTCCAGAATGACACCTAGTCACTGCACCCCTTGGCTTGAATCAGTGCGTGAGCTACTGACAAGCTACTGGTCGGCCAACAGCCAAGGGACCAATCCCATTTGCCTGCTATTGAGGGTGGTTTAAACGGGCTCTAATCAACAGGTTCCGGCTAAGAAGGCCAATCATGTGTAGCATCCGTTTCTTATCCATGGGTCAACGGCCATTCAACGGCCATTTGCCACTTTCATTTGCCGCTCGGCAATGACAGCTGAGGAGCGCCGCGGCGCTGGCGCTTGGCGCCCTTGGCCTTGCGAGCGCATTCTGCGGCGCTGGGCCTTCCCTTTTCGAGGTGCCTGAGGTGGATGGGGGGGTGGTGATGCACACCAGGCCGGGCCAACCGGGATTCCCACCAAAGGTCCCAGTATTGTACCTCAGTTTGGCATGGCTCTTTCACTTGCTCTACGGCGTTGGTCTTGGTCTTGGCCTCTCTCTGTCTCCGGCTGTGTCTGTTTGTCTTGGTCTGTCTTGGTCTGTCTTGGTCTGTCCCTGTCTGTCCTTTGCTGTCTCTGTCTCCCCTCCTTTGTTTCTCTGGAGGGGCTTTCTTGCCCCTGGTGAAGCACATTCTGACAAAGTCAGCAGTTTCATTGGTGCGATTTGGCAAGCTTTGCGCTTGTTATCTGGCCTTTGTTGGGACATGTTCTTCAAACCAGTTGTGCATGGGTGCCGCGTTCGCGCACATGCAGTGGGCTGGCTCCCGACACAGCTGTGCCCAATCGGAGGTCCAGAATGTGGCAGGGCGGAAGGCCTAACAAGCAGATGCAACTCGTCTCAGTCGAATTGATGTGGCAAAGCAACGTGTGCCCCGACTTTGTAGGAAGGCAAAGGCAAAGGGATGCTTCCCTTCCATGGGGCCCAAGTGAGAGTTTGCCTTCGCCTGGCTGAATCCGAGGATCAAGGCCCGGAAGATGCAGATGCCCTCATTGAACAACCTCAAGGATCAGCGCCTGAGGTAGCACTGGAGACATGGGTGTGGTTCCTTGGTTCCTGTTTTCGGGAGCCCTTTTTGGCTGGCCTTTACAGATCAAAAGAACACGGGGTCACATCATCTTGAGAGGCTAGCGGCTAGGTGCTGGCACAGTTTTGAGACTGAAGCTGAAGCAAACATATTATTTTGCTGGCTCTTGGGTATGTTGTGCCGCCTTCCTGGCTAGTTTGCCTTTCATGGAGCTGAAGGCATTTTTTCTGCTGGAGCCAAGGTACTTCATCATCTACTGTCGATCGCCGTCCATTAAGCAGTGGTGCCCCATGAACATCGTGTCTGGCTCCGAGGCTATTCTGTTCCAATCGCCGTTGCCTCTCTTTTTCTTTATTTTTTGGTGGAAAAGGCGGAAGGACGTAGAATTAAAAGAATCAAAGAGCGAAGCTGACCCCACCCTACCCTTTTGAGCGAAGCTGACGGCTGGAAAAGCCAGGCCCTGAAGACATTGAAGGGCGCGACCGACAACCAGATCGCAAAGACCATCGGCGCGGACAAGTTTGCGGAGGGGCAAATCGTGAAGGCGGTGGGAATGCCCCATGGCGTGGATTCCCCCCCCCCCAACCCACAAACCTCAGTTGGTTGTCGTAGCACGCACGCGTTTAGAAGAGCTCTGGAAGGTGGCAGATGATGTTTGGTTTGGGAACGAATAAAGGCCATGTTTGAGTAAGTGGCTCTACCTTGTGACATTGGGGCGGGGTCAGATTTTGTCGTTTTGACCATGTGAGTAGAGTCAAAAATCAATAGTTGCTGGGGTCTCGAGCTCCGAGCTTTGTTGGCTTTGTCTGAGGAACTTGTACAAGCAGAGGGACGAGATCACAGAGCAGGCAAAGAAGATGCACAAAGGCTTGCGGTACACAGAAAACCTGCAGTTCGGTTACAAGGAGCTGGCATTGTGCAAGTCCTTTGTCGGTTCATGGTTGTCAAGTTAAACTTCTGCAAGTCTCCTAGCAAAGATATCGTACTTCTTTATGCATTTCTTCCGCGGCGCAGTGTTCTGGGACCCATTTAACACTTACATATTATGTGACGGTGGCATGGCTTGCGGCTGGCCTCTTCTTTGATGTTCCTGCCTTCCTTGATGGTGCGGCAGTCGTGGCTGTGCGGCTCTTGCGCCATGGCGAGGAGATCATGAACAACACAATTTTCAACGACAACCCCGGCCAGGGGCTCGGAGAGAGAGAGAGAGAGAAATGGCGAGAAAGACGATGCAGGGATTGGAGTCTGCATACTTGCTTCCGTGCTTGGGTGAGCGCTCGCGGCAATGTGCAGGTCAGTTCCTGGACATGACTGGCATTGTCCTCATCCCGCCTGAGGCAACGCACTTGTCGCCACTGAATAGTTTGCCTGGGGTGGACACGAATCCTTCATCCCTGTGCTCCTTCCCACAGGTTTCGGAGGAAAACTGAGGCCTGAATAAGGTGTGTTTGGCCCTTGACGACCAGATGGTCATGCCAAATTTGAACCAAGCTTCTGCCCGGTCTCAGGAGGAGCTCAGGAACCTGCTGGATGCAGCTGGCGAGACGCTTGGAGAGGCAGGCGAGCAGGCCAGAAACGACTGCGAGCGAGCAGTGCTCAGATGCCGGTCTCATTTTGGGTCCCTGAAGAATGTCTCATTGTGAAGCATTTGGTTGGGGCTTTTGATTATTTTATTTTGGTTGTGTGACTGTTTGGCTGGAGCTGACTTCTTGCCTGGGCCTTGCAGATCAGCAAAGTCGGAGACAACGTCAAGGGCTTCTTTGGCGGTGCCGGCCGCTAGAATTGTTTGCAGGCTGGAGTGGGCTTTGGTTACCAGTGAAGACTCTATGGCGGGCTGATTTATGCAGGAGTGCAGCCTTTTAGTGGCATGTCAAATTTTGACATACACACGCAGTCGCAGAAGTGATGACTCGGTCCACCCCTTTGTCAGGCCATATTTCTGTGAGCGTGGCCCGTTGGCTTGTGCGATAGGGGGTCACGTACAAAAGACAGACAGGTGCTGGCATGCTGACAAACAGACGCGGCAGCAGCAGGAGCTAACGTAAGAGTTTGCCTGACAGAGGACGCAATCCTTACTAGCTTGACATGTGAAAAAGCGGGGCCCAGCCCTCGAATTGAAAGTTTTCAGACCAGAGCTGCAGTCGCACAGAGGAAAACGTCCGGGCATGAACGGCGCGCGGCTGTGTATGTGAACGAGTCTTTTTCCAAGGGTGCCCCATTCATCAAGGTGAAGCCAAAGGATGTGCCCTGCGTGGCAAGACTTTGCAAGACATGACGAGCCCAAGGTGCGCCAGACAAGGAGAAGGCTTTGAAAGAGAAGGAGGATGCCCGGGGCCTGATTTGGACACGCTTCCCAACACCCACCGGAGCCCAGCCCAGCTTTCGCTGAGGCGCTCGCCCTTGCGATTGCATCGGCGCCTGCACCAACTCCAGCTCCCGCACCGGGCGCCTTCACGGGAGTGGCGACGGTAAGGCCCCCAAGTCATGCCCCTGACGGGGTCAGCGGGGAAGACCTCACAGGTGACAGTTGACCTTGTCAGCAGCAACAGCCTCAACTAGTTATCTTCAAAGCAAATCTTGGCCTTGCGGTAGCTGGTAGCTTAAGGGAAGTCAAAAGGGAAACCCACAATTTTGCAGGCCGCCATGTGGCGGCGTCTCAAAATCAGTGCCCCAAATGTTTAGCTTCCTTCTGGTGTCACTTCAACTATCCACCAAAGGCGGCCAATGTCAATCTTCCGCGACCCAAGGCTGGGGCACCGCCTGCTCCTGCGCTGACAGGCCAGGAGAAGCAAACCTGTCAGGGGCGCGTGAGGGTTGGGTGGCCCGTTGAATGCTTTCTAACACATGGATGCAATCGGAATGAAGGGAAGCCCAAGGAAAAGGGTTTAATTGCTGAAGGGAAGACAAAACCACGCAGAAACAAGGAAGCCACAAGGGCCATTCGGGGTGAAAAGCGATACTTTTGCCACTGCTGTTCCCGGGCCATGCAGGGCCCACCTCGCCACTGCCAGTGTGTCAAGCACATTTGGGCGTGTGATCGGGTGGTCTTTCAAACGAACATGAAAAGAACAGCAAGAGTAAAAAAGACAAGAATACCACAGCAAACCAACAGCCCCATCTTTCTCCGGCTGCCCCTCCCACCCAAGAAACAAAAGCAACAATAAGCACAAAATGCCAGGGCCGCAGCCATCCTTCCCGCAGGCATCTCCGTGCCTGCCACCAGTGTGAGCCTGGCAGCCCTGGAGGCCCATGGCAAGACATTGCCTTTAACGGGAACCAACATGGGAACCGTCAATTTATATGGGGATCACTTTTTGAGAATCCCTCCAATATCCCATGTTGTCTTTAGTTTACACAATGGGAGGCATACGGGGATGGGAAGTTATTCTTTTTTTCCACACCCCCACTTCGGTGGATGCCAAAACATACTGCAAGAACGAGAGAAGCCCGCCTTCCTCTGAGGGTTTCCCGAGTAGAGCCTGGGGACCCTTTTTTAGGTTTGATCCCAATTGCAGCGGAGCGCCCTTCCGCTTTGGTCAGGGGATGATGTCTGTAGAACCTGCCGCTGAGGCGTGGCGTGCTGCATTTGATTGCGCCATGTTGTTTGCCCCAGCTGGGACGTGGGGGAGGCTGCTGAATGGATTGATTGGACCACCCGCTGGCCCCCGGTCCATTCCTTGGAGGGAGCACAGGCAAAGCTGGATCCAGAGGCGGAGAAGAAGCCGGGGCCTGAGATCAAGCTTTCTCGCCGCTTCGCTCACGGACATGCTGGTTTTGGCTAAGGTTTTAATGGGTAGGACCGGGTTCCAAAGATCCAGCTAATGTGGGCAATACCTCTCTCTCTCTATCTCTATCTCTATCTCATCTCTCTCGTTCCCTCTCGCTCCCTCTCGCTCCCTCTCGCTCTCGCTCTCTCTCTCTCTCTATCTCTATCTCTATCTCTATCTCTATCTCTGTCTCTCTCGCGCCCTCTCGCTCTCTCGCTCTCTCTCTCTCTCTCTCCCCCTCTATCTCTATCTCTATCTCTATCTCTCTCGCTCCCTCTCGCTCTCTCGCTCCCTCTCGCTTTCTCTCTCTCTCTCTATCTCTATCTCTCTCTATCTCTATCTCTGTCTCTCACGCTCCCTCTCGCTCTCTCTCTCTCTCTCTCTCTTTCTCTCTCGCTCCCTCTCGCTCTCTCGCTCCCTCTCGCTCCCTCTCGCTTTTTTTTTTTTTCTCTCTCTCTCTCTCTATCTGATTATCTCTAGCTCTATCTCTGTCTCTCCCGCTCCCTCTCTCTCTCTCGCTCCCTCTCGCTCTCTCTCTCTCTCTATCTCTATCTCTATCTCTATCTCTATCTCTGTCTCTCTCGCGCCCTCTCGCTCTCTCGCTCCCTCTCGCTCTCTCTCTATCTCTATCTCTGTCTCTCTCGCTCCCTCTCGCTCTCTCGCTCCCTCTCGCTCTCTCTCTCTCTCTATCTCTATCTCTATCTCTATCTCTGTCTCTCTCGCGCCCTCTCGCTCTCTCGCTCCCTCTCGCTCTCTCTCTCTCTCTATCTCTATCTCTATCTCTATCTCTATCTCTGTCTCTCTCGCGCCCTCTCGCTCTCTCGCTCCCTCTCGCTCTCTCTCTCTCTCTATCTCTATCTCTGTCTCTATCTCGCTCCCTCTCGCTCTCTCGCTCTCTCTCTCTCTATCTATCTCTATCTCTCTCTCTCTCTCTATCTCTGCTCTCTCTCTCTCTATCTCTATCTCTATCTCTATCTCGTCTCTCTCGCTCCCTCTCGCTCTCTCGCTCCTCGCTCTCTCTCTCTCTCGCTCTCTCGCTCTCTCTCTCTCTCTATCTCTATCTCTATCTCTATCTCTATCTCTGTCTCTCTCGCGCCCTCTCGCTCTCTCGCTCCCTCTCGCTTTCTCTCTCTCTCTCTATCTCTATCTCTGTCTCTATCTCTATCTCTATCTCTCCCGCTCCCTCTCGCTCTCTCGCTCCCTCCCGCTCTCTCTCTCTCTCTCTATTTCTATCTCTATCTCTATCTCTATCTCTTTTTCTATCTCTATCTCTATCTCTGTCTCTCTCGCTCCCTCTCGCTCTCTCGCTCTCTCGCTCCCTCTCGCGCTCTCGCTCCCTCTCGCTCTCTCTCTCTCTCTTTATCTCTATCTCTATCTCTATCTCTATCTCTGTCTCTCTCGCTCCCTCTCGCTCTCTCGCTCCCTCTCTCTCTCTCTCTATCTCTATCTCTATCTTTATCTCTCTCGCTCCCTCTTGCTCCCTTTCGCTCTCTCGCTCTCTCTCTCTCTCTCGCTCTCTCTCTCTCACCCTCTCTATCTCTATCTCTCTCTCTATCTGTATCTCTATCTCTATCTCTGTCTCTCTCGCTCCCTCTCGCTCTCGCTCTCTCTCTCTCTCTCTCTCTGTCTCCCTCTGTCTCTCTCTGTCTCTCTCTCTCTCTCTCTCTCCTCTCACTGAGGCGCAAAGAGGAGTTGAAGGCTGCTCGCGAGAAGCGGGCAAAAGAGTTGAAGCGCGGCCCAGGGGTCCGGGTGCTCGGACTTTGTTCTTTCATGAGCGCCGGTCAAAATATGGGCACATACAAGATTAGCAGGGCAGTGTCCCAACATGAAATGATTGCCGCTCCCACGAGGTTGGCTTGGTACCATCCCCAAGAAACCCGTACATTGGAATTGAAAGGCGTAGTGTGGAGTGACGGATGGGCCTTCAGCCGTCAGGTGGCGGCGTTGGTGCAGGGTGCCCGGCACTGAGAGGGTTGGAAAAGGCCTCCGTTTTCCACGACGTAATCCCAGGGTTTCTGTTTTGCGCCTTTTGTTGTTCTGGGGAGGGGGCAGAGCCGGGCTTGGGCGGTGGGCCTGAGGGGGGGAGCCAGCAGTGCTGAAGATCTGAACCAAGGCACTGAAAAGAGCGATGGAAGCACCATCTGCCTTGGGCCTCAGAGCGCTTCTTGCTCAAAGCTAGAGGGCCTTTGATCATCGACCCATGCGGGCGGCCCTTTTTTGGTGGGCTTGGTTGGGTCCAGCGAGGGTTGATTGACTGGACCACGGGATGGTTTTTCCTTTTGCATTTGCACTAAGAGTTTCAATGGGGCACGTGCTTTGCAATCGTTGGCGGACAGGTATCAATCTTCCGATGAAGGGTCCATTTCCAATCAAAAACACATACCTCGTGGAGCAACCCCGCGGGGTTTTCAATCAACTTCAGATCTCATTTGGGTGATCCGACCGCACCCGCCGAATCCACGTTTTTTTCTCCCGACTGGACCGACGAAGCGGCAGATGGGCAAGAAAGACGAGCTGGTGGAGAAGGCCCAGCGGCAGCGGGAGGAAGCAGAGGCAGCGGCTCGGAAGGCGCGGAGTGGCCGCGGGACTCGGGACGCCGGGACGGCAGATGGCCAAGTATATCATAATGTAACCAACCGGCTGGGGGCGGGAAGGCCAGAAAGCCATGGCCACGCTGTCAAATGTTTGTTTGAGGGCATTCAAACCATCCGCGTAGTTTTGGTTTTGTGGTGACGTTGATGTTTGGGTCTGCAATTGGGGCGAACATCGACCTTCTGCAAAGGAAGCTGGAAGGGGACTCACTGTCAAGATAGGAGACCCTAATCGTGAGACAGCATGAGTTACTTCTTGAGAAGTTCCGGTCTTGCATCTGCAGTTTCCTAGCTTGCTGCTGCAACTTCACGAGCATTCAAGCCAAAAGCTCATGTATCATGCATCGCTTGCCACAGCTTGCCAGGAGCAGGAAAGGCTAGAGCAAGAGAAAGAGAAGCTTGGCAGCATCCTAGTGCCGTTGTCCCTATACATCTACACAGACACACACACACACACAGATACGTATACACGGAGGCAATGCCCGCCGCCTGTCTTTGAAAACCGTCACACCTGTCCGATTCGTTTTGTGAGCAACCAAAAGTCACCAGGCATGAGAAGGCGGAGAACATGCGAAAGAGGTTGGAGGAGCAAAAGAAGGCGGGGACCGCGGGGACCGCGGGGACCGCGGGGACTGCGGGGACTGCGGGGACCACGGCATTCGATGGCATCTGCGTTCGGAACGGGAGCACGAAGCCTGGCCCGAAAGGCAAGGCCTCTCTGCCACAACCTCGACCAAGCGTTATGGCCTGAGTCATGCCAGGCGGAGGAAGAGAAAAGGAGGCAACTTGAAGAAAAGGAGGACGGAGCTGGCAAAGCAATATGCTTGTTGGGGAATGTGGGGTTTGAGTTTCTGGGAGATTCTGCTCTTAGAAAAGCAGGGCCATATGTATATAGAATATATTTGAACCAGAGCATGTTCAACGCATAATAATTAACATGAACAATTAACACCATTCAAGTCAATTTCATTACTTAATGAATTAGACAGCCAAAAGTCCAATTGTTTAAGGCTTCTATTGGACACATCAAAGTATGGATCCTCAATGTCGCAACCCTCAGAACCTTTCCAACATCCCGATGGAGCCACCCAAAAGGCATAAATAGACTCACCATTGTTAAGAAAGTGCCAGTTACAGCACCACACGCAGGAATTATGCTTGACTCGGAACTCAACCCTCTCGATTGCACACCACACGAAAGCGCACGAAAGCGCAGGGTTAGCGCCTGGGGCTTGGGGAGATCCTGACAGGCCCGCGAGCGCGAGCGCGCAGACCGCGAGGCCTTGGAGAGGCGCGTGGCGCATTTTCTCAGATGAACTTATGGTGCAGCGAGCCGCCAAGCTATGCAGGGTCCCCTACCTTAGCCATTTGCGTCGATGTCACGCTCAGTCTGCGGAGGGCACGCGTAGCTTTTTGACTGCTTGCACGAGCGGGCTTGTAATTCCGAAAGCTTGTGGCTTTTGGATTTGCACCGCGACTCGGCATCGCTCAAATCACCTTGCTCAGGCGAAGACAAGCCGAAAAGGCGGATGAGGCAGGGGTGAGACATGGGTGTGTGTGTGTATGTGTGTGTGTCTTTAGGAGAATTCTGTCAATGGAAGCCAAAAGCAAGCCGCTGACTTAAGTGGGTTCCCCTAGTTCGACGCTCGCATTTGGATCATGGAGCGGCCAGGAGATGCACAAGAAAGAGGCCGAGACGCGAGACCAACGCATCAAGGCACGCTCACGCGCGCTAGCCCTCTTAAAGGACAGCAGAACCGCTAAACCTCTGGTTGAGACCCAGTTAACAAGGTGTCCTTTACCTTGGCGCCCGGACTGTGGACATCCTGCATCGGTCAACCCTATGACGCACCAACTTGGGCAGGATTTTATTCATCCATGCTCGATCCACATTTTTGTGTATCCAGAGGGATGCCAAAGGGGGATGAGTAGTCTTTGTCCAGACCCAGCAATAATCCGCGCAAGGTTTTCAATCCGCGGGTGGACATTCCCCTGGCGAGGCTAGCATGGAAGCTGCAAAGAAGCAGAGGGCCGCCGCCAAGGCAAAGGAGGCGGATACTGCAAACGAGTCAGTCGCTTGTCGTGGAGAGTCAGCCTTTGCAGCAAGACTTTTAACCTACCTTTTGGCTCCTCCATGATGGGAGCTTGTGCTGCGCACTTGCTTCTGTGGCGTGTGGAGCCCAGCTTGGCCTGGTCTTCTGGAAATCGGCAGGCAGAGACGCTCTACGGTGACATGCCTCAGCCACTGGCCCCAAGATGAGTTGCTCAGAGCTGGGCCCATGCTTTTGCGGTTCAAAGGTTGGCTGCGATTCGTGCATTTGAAGCGGAGGCCTGACGCTGACACTGCAGCTGCAACAGAGGCGCACATTCATTTGAGAAATCCTTTGAGTTTCCAACCCTCGGCGCGTGCTTGTCGCTGTCTCTGCAGGCTTTCTTGCGCTAGGGCACGCCATGCTCTCCAAGAATTGGTAGCTGAGTGGGTGTCCCATGTGTGGGTTGGTGCACATGCAATCGGGATGTTGCTCTAGGAACGGGTCGGAGCACAACCCGCCTGTTGCGCATGCGTGCTTAGAGCTTTACGCCACCTTTGCGCAGGCGGCTTTGAAGGCTGCGGGTCAGAAGGGCCCTCAGGCAGACCTGGGCCTCCTTCCGGAGGACAGATCCCTTCAGGGAATTTGTCATTTCGACGGTTTTGCTTTCGCCTGCCCCTTGCTCCATCGGCATCGTGTCAAAAGCCAAAGGCCATAAGTTAGATAAAGGGCGCCTCCAACCTTGTCCTCCTTCATTAAGGGGCAGTTTGCCCTGCACTGCTGTGATCAAAGTCAACTCGGTAGTCTATGGTCAAGTTGGGGTTTGAGTCAAAAGGTTGGGCACTGGAGGGAATGCTTGACAAGAGAGCCCACAAGCATCCAGCCGTTTGAAGCGGCCATTGTGCCTACCAAGGGTCATGGGAGGCGCCGAAATGGCTGGGACGTGGAGTCTGCCTGGCGTTGCCAAGAGTCAGAGGGCACAGTTGCCCGCAATTTACAGCGTACATCTAACGAGAGCGATCATGCCATCCTCAAGCGCAAGCCGCTCCCAAGCAACACACACACACACACACACTCAAAACCCTTCTGCTTCGGTGTTGGAATCAGCTCTCCACACCTGCACCCCATGGCCGCAATTCGGCCTGCAGGACCATAGCAAGGTAGTGTTCCTTGATGTGGATGGCGTGCTCCGGCCGGCGAGAGCAGGCCGCACATTCGGGCTGGAAAGAGGTGTCAAAGCTCAACCCTTGGAATCATTCGGGGAGCCAACATGAACGCGCATTACTTTGTCAACCTTGGAATCCGAATCCCCCCCTTCGTGAGGCACGTTTGATATCTCCACCGACGGCGATGCCGTGGTTGGCTCAGCACTTTCTCGGCGAGGGCTCGCTGGAAGCGTTCGGTTCAAGGCAAAGCCCGACACCTCCGACTTCTTCCCGCCCGCCATGAAGGCCTTGGCAGAGCAAAGGCCACAAGTCAGTTGAATAGGGGCAAGAACGGTTGAATGGCACAGTACGCGGTCGGATGTGCCCAATAGACGGCTTGCAAGGTTTACTCTTTCTGCAAATGAGCATGGAATGTATCAAAAAGGGGCCCCCAAAAGCAAAAGACGTGGCTTCTTGGTTTCATGTTGCCTGGGGAGTAACATGGGCCACTGACGGGGTATGTGGCTGTGATCCGGCAGGCGCTTCGCCACATTCAGGCCAGGAGCCCAAGAGCACATGGCAAATCCCTCTCTCATCAATCAGACTTCCTCCTGTGCCTTGCTGATGTTTGAAGCATCACCTTTTTGGGTCAGGATGAAGGGAGTCTCCCCTCGTCGTTGGGGGATTCAGGGAGCCCTGTGCAAGCCGATGGGATGCGATGGGCTAATTCTATTTCTGCCGAGCAGTCAGGTTTGAATTATGTGCATGCCAAGGAGCGAACCAGTCCGCGCATAGTGCTGTGTTCGGAGTGGCGGCGTGGCGAGGCTCCGAGCGGGCCCCGGGCTCCCAAGGGGGACCTCCATCCCGGAGCAAGTTAATCACATTCGCAGCTGTTACTTTCCCAGCATGCGGGTGAAAGCGAGTGCGAGATCTATCCCTTGACGGGACACGCCCGGCGCCAGACTTTCCTGAAAGCCTTGGAGGAGGTCTTCCACAAAAACAGGCGCCAGTGGAGATTGAGTCCCAATCATCGCCCCTTTGCAAATATGGGAGTCTTTGCATTTGGACTTGGGTTTGGGATCAATTCAATACCGGTTTTGATTATGACGCGACTCGTGCGCGAGCCAGCAAAAAAGCAAGGGCTGAGACCCCGCACGACGAGAGCGCTGGGCAGGCTGCGGTTATGGAGCGACGTCACCCCAACAAACTTCAAGCTGGAGAAGGGTCCGGCGCTGAGCTTGTTGCCTGAAAGCATTTGAACAAGGCCAAGTGCTTTCAATCATGGCAGGATGTGCTGTCAACAGGTGGCATGCTTGTCATACAGTAAGTGGGGTTGGCGTTCCAGCTGTCTGGTGGGACAACGCGCAGGCGCTAGAAGCCAAGCAGCTAAAGAGGGATGCGGGGTTATCAACTGCTGCAGGTACGGACGCTGTCCGCTGCTTTGCGGACCGCCGGTCCAAGGAGATTAGTGAGTGGCTTCGCAAGCACGAGGCGGTCCAGTTTGCAAGGAGCAAGGTCCCAAACTTTCTACGTTCTTTTGTGTCACATGGTGCTCATCCAACGCTTTTGAGTATGTTCAGCTGGCTCTATTCCGCGGAGCCTGATGGCATGCAGTATCTCATCATGTTTGAGGTTGCTTTTGCGGCAGCGTTACACAGGTAGTGGCGCGTGTTCATGACAGAGTACACAGCGGCACTGTCAAACCCGCGTCAGGGCGAGGTCAGCGGCTGGGTAGTCTTGGATGACATCAACCTTTCCGTTGCGGATGAGGCCACTGCCGCATGTTTGTGTCAAGAGCGAGTGCCAGTGGTTGCGGTAACGACTGCTGCGAGCTTGCTTCCCGAGACTGCAGGCAAAGAAGTCGTCCGGCAGACCGCACATGGCCGCGAACCACGAAGGGGCCCCAGCATGCAGATTTGCTGTTGGATGGGAGCAAGGCTCATGCTGCTCGTCATTGCAACCGGTTCTGGACGGCTCGCTGCTACTTGCAGCTGCTGCGAGGGTCCGAATGTGCCACATGCATATGTTCAGGAAAGCAAGTTAAGAGATGGTAGCAGGTCCAAACCTCTGCAGCAAACCGCTTGTGCAACATCCCCGCGCTGGTTTTCCTGTTTGTCACCTGTTTCGTCATGCTTCCCAGGGCACCCTCGAGAAAAGCAGCTATTCCACAACACGGCGCACATGTCGCCAGAGTTGGTTTCCTTTGCTTGACAGAGGGGCTTCGACCATGTCGCCCAGCTTCGGCCCGTCGGACGAGTTGGCGGAGCTGCACTGCGGCTGGAGCCAGCGCTGTGCGCAGCTCCGAGCCAAGGCGCAGCAGTGCGCCGGCGGCTTGCACGCGGAGGCGGGGCAATGTTTGATGTTTGTGTTTTTGGGTTTGGTTTGCATGTCCCTTCACTTTCCATGTTTTCCCCCTTCTTCCCTGTTTGCTTTGGACATGCCAATGTGGTTGGTCTAAAGGGCCGTCAGAAACTGGTTTCGAGGGGGGAAAGCAAGAGTCCAACTCTCAGCCTTCCATAGTGTGACGATGCGTGTGCGTGTTTGTTTGTTTTTTTTAAATCAGGGTACCCTTTTCAGGCTGGTTCAAAGGGAAACCAAAAGGAAAACCGCAGCCTACTTCTGGCTTCCCCGATTTTGACATACTGGTTAAAACATATGGTTGTGTATCTGTGTGTTTTTTGAAGGGTGCCCTTTTTAGGGTTATCATTCGTGGGTGGTTCGCAGTTTCGCACAGGCCCATGTTGAACCTAGCCCCCTTTAAAGGGAAACCAAAAGGAGGCCTGTAGTCTATCGCAACTTGTGCAGACCATGAGAGCGGTTTCGATTCTCCAGCGCTCTTGCAAATAGACCGTCGCAACGGATCAAGGGGCACAAGGTTGTCATATTGAACCCCCCGTTTGAAGGACAGCCATTCCTTAAAAGGTTTCGAACCCGAATATTGTTTACTCAATGGGCGTGTCATGTCATGTTTAAGCCGGTGGCCCAGCCAAGGCCAAGGATTTGGAGGCGAAGCTGCAACAGCAGCGGTCCAACTTGCAGCACCTGGAGCAGAAGCTGCCGATCGGCCATGTTGGGGGTGAGCACCCGGTTTGTTTGTCATTTTCGGTTGATGGAGCAGTGAGTCTGTCAAGGGAGTGAGTTTTTGCACTTCTCAACCATCTGACGGGGTTGCATGTCGAGGTTTTGGGCCCTGGTATATTGTGATTACGTTTGGAGGGGTTCTCATGATTGCCTTTTCGCCCGTTCTTTTCACTGACCGCGGATCCGATTGGAGGTTGGCTGCTTCACGTGGAAAGGGCCTAAGAACCACTCCGCGGTTTGTCGTGGGCAAATTATTGGTAGAGTCACTAGGCACCCCGCCCGCTAGAGAGGGCTCTTAGAACCTTTTCTTCCAGGCAAGGGGGGCATGCGGCTTCCTCAGCAAATTCAGCGAGCCATCGGATAATCCTTCGGAGGGTTGGATTGACGGTGGGAATTTTGAAGGACCGCCCTCCAACTCCAAACACAGGGGTTACCTGGAGGGATTACATCCAGGGAAGTGGACGGAGTCGAGTCAGGCGGCGCCTCACGGGCGAGGCAGGCGCCCTGGCCCGGCAGATGGAGGTCCTGCGGGACCGCTCGGCGCTTCTCCGCGGCGCGGCGAAGCCGGTGGCGGAGACCCATCAGAGGCTGGCGCTGGACAAGGCGTCGGCTGCATTTCTTGGGAAGCGACAACCCCTGGCCCCGACATGTTGTTGGTGAAATTGAACCTCGCAGTGGGTTGTTTAAACCATGGCTGCCTAGGCGTGTTTAAGCAAGGGTTGGCACCCTGCAAGGTCCTGAAGCAGCAGGAAGTGGAGCTGCTGCAGCAGGTCGCGGGCAGCCTCGAGAGGCAAGCACGAGGGAGGGAATTGGGGTTCAGAGTCAATCCGCATAAGCAAGGGTGCGTCTAAAGCTCAAGTCACGCGAGCCAAAGAAGGAGAGAAGCCACAGCAATCAAGCGGGCTGTCCAGGGACGCTGTTTTTGACCCCGTTTTGTGCCAATAAAACAAAGCAAACGAACGGCTCCCATTCCCATCCCATGTGCGGATTCCTCCCGTTTCCAGCGTTATGTGTGTGTGTGTTTTTCTTCTGGAAAGGGGCGTCAAAATGCGGTAGGCCAACGCCAAGATCATGGAGGGAGGGCGGGAGGTTTCTTTTGTCTAAGCCTGGAGCAACCTCTACAAAGAGTACTTTTGAGGTACCCCCGAAACAAGGCTCATATGAGTGTCCTCCCCAAATGTCTGTTTTTTTTTTTTTTTGGTTCCGTTTCAAAACCAAAGCAGGATGGGGAAGTGTCAACAAAGGGGGACCCAACAAAAGCTGGAACTCCCTTTGAACAGCGCCGGCACCCTCGTGAACCCTCCGGAACCCTCCCCAAGGTCTGCTCCAAGCCACCCTAGAGCCTATCTGGGCAGAGCTGTTGGGGAAATACACACCACACACACACACACACACGCCACACCACACACAAACAGACACACGACACAAACAGACAAAACATACAACACACACACACATACACACGCACAACACACCCAGCACACACACACACACGAACAACACACACAAACAAAACACACACACACACACACACAACAAGCAAAAACCCAGAAACACGAACACAAACAGCAAACACACACGCACGCACGCACGCACGCACGCACGCACGCACGCACGCACGCACGCACGCACGCACGCACGCACGCACGCACGCACGCACGCACGCACGCACGCACGCACGCACGCACGCACGCACGCACGCACGCACGCACGCACGCACGCACGCACGCACGCACGCACGCACGCGCACGACGCACGACGCACAGACGCACAGACGCACAGACACACAGACACACAGACACACAGACACACAGACACACAGACACACAGACACACAGACACACACCCACACACACCCACACGCACACCCACACGCACACCCACACGCACCACGCACGCACGCACGCACGCACGCACGCACGCACGCACGCACGCACGCACGCACGCACGCACGCACGCACGCACGCACGCACGCACGCACGCACGCACGCACGCACGCACGCACGCACGCACGCACGCACGCACGCACGCAC